GAGCTTTCTGAAGAACCTTCCTCTGAGGATGAGACCGCCGCATTTAATCCTTTCGGTTTCTCTTTTCTTTCTGGTTCGTGGTTTGAACCAGATGACGACGTCTTGTCTTCTGATGATGAGGGTGAGGATCTCCTACTCGACCTCTTCTTCTTCCGGCTTCTCTTCTCGTCTCTACTCCCTTCTCTCCTACTTCCACCATTTCCCCTCTCCTTGATTGCACGAGACTGATCCTTGAACTCCTTTCTCAACTTCTCCAGTTCTCCATCACTTCCAAACTCCATTGCATCCGCTAGCCTCTCTATCAAGGTCTTCGACTCCGGAGAGGTCTTCTTCGACCTGGGACTCGTCTTTCTTTCTCCTCCTTTGTCACCATTCGGACCTGTATGCGAACCCAATCCCAAACAACGTAATTGTGAGGGTAGGGTACTCTTTGGGAGTACTCTAGGCTCACTAAAGATGGCAAATAGTTAATGAAGTAAATGAGATTCTGGTCTTTTATTTCAAATATGTAGTAGTTACAATTTGAAATAAAGAAAAGAATGGAAGTTAAAAGGAACTAACAGTCTGTTTGGACAGATCCCGACAGACTGCAGTTAGGCGACTCCTTAAAAGGAGATTTCACTTATAATACAAGTATTATAAATACGGGAAGCTGGATCCAAGCTTTCCCTTCAATCTTGTAAGTGACAGATTGAAGAGTGAGGTGAAGGTCACTAATCTGGTTGTTCTAAAGTCACCAACTTTTAGTTGTTCAAAAGGTGCACTAACCTGTGAGTTGATATAGGTCACTAACCTGCAGTTGTTCAAAAGGTACACTAACCTGTGAGTTGATATAGGTCACTAACCTGTAGTTGTTCAAAAGGTGCACTAACCTGTGAGTTGATATAGGTCACTAACCTGTGGTTGTTCAAAGGTAACCAACCTGAGAGATTTCTACTTAGGGAAAGCAGAGGATCCAGAAAAGGGTGAAGAGATTACTACTTACTTTTAGTCAGGAAGCTGATTAAAGTTATGAAGTTATCACTAGTCTTATAATTATAAGACTCTTGATGTTACTTCAATAGAACTTTGATTCTGTTCTTTAAAAGTATGGTGTAATAATTGCTTGGGGGATTCTCTTGAAGGATCAGAGAGGAGGGGCTTATATACTCTCCTCTCTAAACCTAATTGGAGTGATATTTTGTCTTTATCACTACATTGGTTCAGGGTTGATCAATAGTAGTTATGATTATTGCTAGTGATACTTAATTACATATGTGTGTTATGTATAATATGTAATATAAGCATTTTAACTCTTGACACTGAGTTATGAAGTGTAGTTTGTGTTTTATTACATGTTACATGTTGTTTAAAGAGTACATGTATATGTAATAATATGTTTATGTCTTTTATAGCATGTTACATACTGTATATAGGCTATATGTATATGTAATAAGGTTTGTATCTGGTAATTCAATATTACAAGTTAGTTTTGGGTACATGGATATGTACTCAGGGCTGACAGTAATCAGTACCCATCCTTGGTCTGCCTCTGCTACTACGCTTCTGCGGAGCTGGGTTTCCGACTGGTTGCTACCACAGTTTCCTGGAGCTGACGGACTACATTCCTTGGCTTTCGCCTTCGGTGAGGTCATCGTCGTGGAGCGCTATGCTGCTCAACACTTCCCAAATTGAAGATGTGCTCACCTCTGTCCCTTTCGATCAGCGCACTGTAAGCCTTCCCTTGGCTTCTTCCTCCCAGACCTTCATTTGATGACGTTTCTGATGATGAAATCTTCCTCCCCTTTCCCTTATTCTTCTTCTTTTTCCTCTTCGTTTTCAACTTCTCCACCTTTCCCTCTTCACCCGACTCCTCCTCTCCTGATGACACCTCTCTGCAGCTCCTCTTATCTTTCTGTTCTTGCCTATCTTCTCTCTTACTCTCTCCTCCTCTTTCCTCAACACTCTCTTCCTCCCTTATCCTTCCTAAGGTGTTTTCTGCCATTTCTGATTTGATCTGTAGAATCTCTCTCGAAGTCAGCGAGTCGGGGATCACTCGTTCGGTGGTTTGTCCTTCTTTTCCTATGACTTCCGTTTGTCGAGATTGACTCAGTCCGGTATTCGACACTTGTACTGTTCCTTGACTTCTGCTTGCTATTGGAACTCTTGATTCTGCTCTTCTCTTTCTGCTTTCCGCTTGCTCTTTCTCCTTCTCTGCTTGTACTCTCTTCTTCTCCTCAGCTTGTTTTATTGCTTGAATCATATGGTTTGAACTGTATTTCGTTAAGAATGTCTTCGTTTTAAGCTGTCTCCACATACGGTACTTCCACCTTCTTATTCTGAGTTGACTGAGTTAAAAGAATTTTTGAATTGATTGAGTTTAAGCAATTAATTGATATGGGTTTATCTATCCCCTTTTCCTTCCTCAAAAAAAATTAGATCCACAAGTTATCTTGGGTTGATATCTTGTAGGATCTTCAGGTGCTTCGCAGAAGGGAGAGATGTGATCGAGTAGAGAGGAGAGAGAGGTGAAAACTCTGTCTATCTCTCTACATCACGTCCTGTATCTTCTGTCCTGTCACTGAGCTGTCAGGACTGTCAGGACTGTCACAGGGCTCTCCTTCTGCTCGCACCAGAAGCCCTCTTCCACTACACAAAGATGGAACACTGAGTACCTCCGCAAGCTCTGGGAACTCTCTCCATGAATACAGTCAAACCTCTGCAATCCGGTCCTCAAAAATCCAATAACCTCTGATATGTGGTCAAATTTTGGTCCACCAAGTTAGGTTTTTAGCAGGGAGTTTGACTCTAAAATCTGATAACCTCTGCTATCCGGTCCAAAAGGCGTCCACCAAGCCCACCGGATTTCAGAGGTTTGACTGTATTAGGAAAAAATCACCTGTATTCATTGTAAGAAGATCTGTTGATCATTTTTTAACATCAATTGATCAAATTCACGCCTTGGATCATTACAAACAATAATATTCATGACATCATATGGTTACATTGGAGCATTTTTGTTGATTTTTGACGGTTTTTGGAAGTTTTTTGGAGGCTGTCGACCATTATTGAGGATTGTTGGAGTGTTATATACTATTGTGAGGGATTTTATGTGCCTTTGTTCCCTTTTTACTAATCTTATACTTTTGTTAGAGTGTTTTTAATCATCATTAAATTAATTTAGCAGTACAAAGTTCACTAAATATCCCCTTTATATCAAAGGAGAGATTTCTTTACGTGTGATAAGACTACAAGTCTTCTTTGGAATAACAATCTAATTGATTGTTGCTTTGCTAGTAATTAAAAGTTTGTTTTGTTGTGCTCAGATTGGAATAACACTATAGCAGTGTTGAGATTTCTTTAATTCTAAAAACTCACAGGAATAATACTTGAACTAAGTATTGAAAACAATTTCTCTGGTGCCTTATCCCAAAGAAGTCAGCAAAACCCTGTGTTGATTCTTTCAATGAGGCAGTCTTAGGCAACTTCTACTAGTTAGTTATATTAGTATATTGTCCCTCTTTTAGCTCTGTAAAGCTCTTGTTGAGCTTTGAGTTCTACACCGTCAATTGCACCAATGCAGTCTTTAAAGTCAGGCATGAACTTGGGATTCACAGAGAAATTGCCAGGGAGCGGTGTGTTGGCATTGGGAAGAGGAATGTATTTTTCAAGTAAATCACCATTATCAGAGATTCCCTTGACAAGGTGATTAATTATTCTAATCAAAATAAGACATGTTAGAAGAAAGTGATAGATTTTTTTTAAAAAAAACTGACTTAGAAGTACTATCAGCAGATCTTTGGAAACGGTTCTGAAGTTTGCGGTTAGAGAGACCAGTAATGACAGTATAGAGTAGGAGAGCTTGTTTTCCAGTCACTGTGATAAAACATGAGTCTACTAGGATTCCTGCATCTTGGAGCACTGAGCGTAGTTTGAAGAATACATGTTTTTGCATGCCAAGATTATTGTAGAAAACTGATTGGTTGGGATGATTAATAAGCTCATCAATCCAAGCTTCACCACTGAGCATGGAAGTGAGGTGTGTTGTTTTGTAAAGTTGTGGAAGCAACTGTTGAATACAGATCTGAGTGCCAATGCTCCAATATGAGAACATGGCAAAATGAAGTTCTTGTGTGGCAAGAACTTTTTTAATGAAGTGTCATTTTAATAGTTTGTGGGTTTGGGATTGATGATTCACCACGAGAGCTCTTGAAACAGATCGAGGACGGTGCTCAATTGGACTGGAAGTCCTGCGGTATGAGGACATTGCAAGTCGATCGCAATGAAACTAGTTGTACAGCCCTTTGCATGATTGATGACTTTGGAGAAAAAAAAACCTCAAGTTTTCATAAAAAAAAACCTTGAGTTTTTTCAAAAACCTACTGAGTTTTTCAAAAACTCATTGATTTTTGAAAATTTCAAGAAAAACTCATTGACTTTCTCAAAAACTCAGTAGTTTTTTGAAAAAACTCGGTCACCTTTTGAAAAAACTCAAGGTTTTTCTGTTGAAAACTCAAGGTTTTGCTTTCTTCAAAGTCATCAATCATGCAAAGGGCTGTAGGTGAACAAAGAAGATGAAAATGTACCAAACAGCAATGTGATCAACGGAGGTCAACAGACGTCTGTTGATCTCTTTTGGATATCTGTTCGGTAATCTCGATATCCAAATTACGAATATCTCTATGTGCCCCTTCATATAGGGGCAAAACAAAATTTTGTTTTCAGGGCATATAATATGCGGAAACAAACCAAACAGGCCCTTAGATAACCAAAAGCATAGGTCATAATAGGGGGTTTCAAGTTGCAGATTTTTACATATTTTTACGCTACAACAACTTTCCTGTAGTTGTAAAATATGTGTAAAATTTTGAAAGCGGGTTTTAGGTGTCCCGAATTCAAAATACGTTGATTTTACGAAGAATTTTTGTACGGACAACTTGTCCAAATTTATAAATTTTACGCAAAAAACAAATGAACTTGAAACCCCCTTATACATCATAATCTCAATTGTAGTGACTTCTTCAGCCACACGAGTCTTTAGCACATTCTAAGTGTTGTAGTAGATGTAATGAAGTTTGACCCATGGATAAGCGCGGTTAGTGATGAGTGAATCACATACGCTTGACTGCAGAGAAGTCATACTTACGTTGGAACACATTGCGGTTCTTGCAATTGTACGAGCCCACCGTTCCGTCCGTGTCTGTGTGCTCGCACACTTTCCAAGATTCCCAAATTTAAAAAGATGAACACATTAGTATTCTGGGGTGTGAATTTGCAGGGAAGCTTCAAGCCATTTCACTAATCCTCTGGATTCCAGGTATCCCGAGTTATCTCAAATTGATGAAAACCCCAGATGAAGTATCTGAGGTGAAGCATGCACAAAGACTGACAGATTTGTCTACCGTCTGAGCGAGAGTCTCCATAGACCGTAATTCCTTGGTCGCAAGCCCATGCTTCACCGCTGTTCATCACTTTTCCGTCCGAGTCAACGCAGTTCCTAGCAGCTGTGTGATGGTCCATTGAAACAAACCGTAAGCGGTCCCTCTGCATCTCCCTTTGATTGAAAACAACAGAAATTTCTCTTACAGGGTATCAACTTATCGCTCCTCTTACAGTACCCGCAAGCATAGGTAGTAAAGTCTTGACCATTGTCTTTAAATTTGTAACAGACTTTAAGCATAAATTTTTGGCAGGGTGTTCAAAGTGTTGGGTCAGTTAACACTATCTGTAAAGATAAGAGCTCATCGATTGAATCTGGAGAAGTGAAGAATTTCAGATTCAGGGGCATTGATTTACTGACAAGCTTTTCGAACGAGGTTTCCATTCACAAAGGTTGGGGCAGACCAACCATAGGTGCAATCTATAGCATTAGCATCTACAAATATACGTGACCTGAGATGTCCGACGAGCAGAAAAACAAGCGAAAGACGACAGATGAGGGTGAATCGTTTCCAAGACATAGGTCACAGAGCCAGATTTCAATCTGTTCAGCAACACGTCGAGCTACTGAAAATTCAAAGTCGTATTGACCCCGGAGAAGCAATAAAATTGATCAGAAACGTCAAAGTAATTAGGAGCGAAAGAGCCGTTGCAGGGGTTGGTATGCCTCTTTACCAAAGCAGCCTTATATAAACCTTATATATCTATGGTACTCAAAACCACTAGGTTCAAGCCACCTTTTTCAAAAAATGTGAAAAACATAGATTCAAAGTTGATCTTTTTGCAGGGGAATTCCTGGGAATTCTCTGGAACTTTTTTTTGGAGCTCTGTACGGTTCATTTTCTCCGCAAAAACAGCATTTTGAAAGCAGGTTTTCAAGAAAGGTAGCACGGACCTAGTGGTTTTGAGTACCGTAATCACAATGACAAAGTTTGCCGTTCCGTCTCAAGCCTCTTTTATCAGAAACAGTCAGGCTACAAATTTAGCCACGGGTTTATGATCAGCCACTGTCCCCAGAAGACTTCTGAATCCAAATTCCTCGGTTAAACCTAAGTCCCTCCCTCGACTCCTCGCGAGTGGACTGTAGAAGGAAGGGACTTTTTTAATTTAATTTCGCGGTGCATGTTGTGACGACTTCGGGGTCTGCGATACCCTTCAAGTTGTCTCTCGCGCTCAAAATGGGATGGGTTCAGGTGAGCGTCCAAGGGAGCCTTGAGATACGAAGTTAATTGAGTTTTCTCTTTGTTTGAAACCAACAAACAACATAAGAGAAAACAAGAAGCTAATAATGCAAGGTAATCTTTTGGGCCAATTTTCAATCATTCATGCTCAACCAAGGCATTTGATACCATCATAGACAGGCTGCATTAGGCTCAAGGCTGAGAGACATAATGTGTGGAGGCTTTGAAGGTCTCAGTGGTGGTACGAACTCCAATAGCCTTTTAAAGAAGGTAAACCTCATTGAGGATGACAATTCATTGACGGAAGACTAGCTTGAAAACAGGGTCAAGAGATAGACGCAACTTACGTGGCTATGCGGAATAAAGCTCATTGATTGAATTTCACGACTCGAGTTGCAACATTGTATACTAGAAACATCGCAGATAAGTATAGCTAAGGGTGTTGTGATTCAAACCGAGATCATCAAGTCTTATCAGGAAAGTTTGTAGTGATTTCTTCAGAGAATGCCATCAAGACAAGGTACCCATCACATTGAGCTGCACGGTAAATTAGCCAGAATAGTGATGAACATAACGCGTTAATTATCAACAAGATAACAGTGAGCCTCAGGACATTCTGAAAAACATAGCGCAGTTGAAACAATAGAGAGGGCCAATTAGTGGTGAGTGAATATTATGTACCTGACTGCAAACAAGTTATAAAATTTAAACTTACGTTGGAACACATTGCGTTGCTTGCAAGCGTACCCATTCAATATTCCATCGTTGTCAATGTGGTTGCACACTTATGTTTTCAAGATTCAGTAATTACCGAAAATCAAATACATCAGCAGTGTGGCGTGTTAAAAATCATTTGGCACCAAGACGTCTCGAGACATCTCGAACCAATGTAATCTGCAGTAGAAAGATCTGACGTGAAAAATTCAAAGTGACTAACTGATGTTTCTGCCATCTGGGCGAGAGCCTTTATCGAAGTCGATGCCGGATTCGCAAGCCCATGCTCCTCCCCCGTTCATTACTTTTCCGTCGTAGTCTACGCAGTTTCTAGCAGCTGTGCGCCAAATCATCAAACCAAAAGGTAAGTGGTCCCTACATTGCTCATTGATTGAAGACAGTAAACTTTGCTCCTACAGGGGATATGTTTATCGGCCCTGCCACACTGGTCGCATTTATAGGTGGAGTAGTCTGGACCCTTGCCTTTGAATTTCCAACATACTTTGAGCATGACATGTTTTGGTAAGATGATCAGAGGGTTGGGTCAATTCACACTATCCGTGACATGAAAGATGATTGATTGAATCTGAAGAAGTCAAAAACTCCATGAAACGAGATAATTGACTTACAATACTTGTCCTTGGGGAGGCCGTCGAAAGTCTTGTCTGGTGGAGAGAAACCGTAAGTGCAATCTATAGCATTAGCATCTACGAAGATACGTGACGCGAGGTCTCCGGCGAGCAGGAAAACGAGTAAAAGATGAAGGGTGGAGATCGATCGATTCCAAGACATCGTTGGACAAGAGCTTGATGTATTTCGGAGGTTGTAGAGCTACTGAATGTTCGAATTCTTTTGGAAGTCAACAGCGGAGGACTGGTAAAAATTTATGAGAACCGCGCCAAGCTAGGAAGGTGAACCAGGTGTTGCTAAACTCAATCGCCTCTGAGACGATAGCCAAGCAGCCTATATAGTCAATGCATTTCAACAACAAAGGGTGGTGTTCCGTCTCAAGCCTCATTCAACAGAATATCTTGTGGCGGACCCAGCCATTTTCCCTGCAAGACAGCCACAGGGTTTTTGCTTGAGTCCTGGGACCTTCCTCGCGGCTCTTCCATCTATGATCACTTATGGGTCTGCACCCACGTGGTTTGACCTTTCTTATTTTGTGGAAACTTCAGCTATGGTTTATAAGCCACGCTCTCTTCCAAACTTATCCAAGTCCACTCGCTCTGGCCCCGTCGGTACAGGTACCACGCACCTCCGAGCGCCGCGGCTCTCATCGTGCCTTTGCTCATAGAATCATGGACTTATAGTGGGGTTTGGGAGGGGTTGGGCAAACAACTGGTCAATCAGTTCTTCAGGAATCCAATAGAAGAGAGTCGAAAAGGGTGCAGCTTTCACAGCTCTCAAAGAATCCAAGCCTGGGGTGAGGCTGTGACCCGGCCCGGTCCTTCCCGGCCAACCTCACCCAAGGAGTTTTGAGAGACTCAAGGTACGTGTACCGGGGCTTTTAAACCTAACATGATGACCGTCAGCTCACAAAAGCACCGCGGGCATCCTGGGCGGCCGGTCCGGCCGAGTTGCCAACCCTTTTTCCTCCAAAAACTCACAATCACAATCCTTCACGATGCCATAAATTAAATTTTATGTATCTAATTTCACACATCCTACGGTAATCAAAATTTTGATCACCATCATTTGCCAATCATCTGACATCAGCTAACTTGCCGATCACCAAACATCCCAATTATCAATACCGACCTTCAATCAATATGCCCGCTATATCCATCCTGACAAGATCTTCATTAATAGTCACACAGCAACTTCTTCCAGTATTGCCCCATCTGACTCTGTCTCCAAGATTGCCTCCAACACCACCACCATTGCACTCTCATTGTGGGTATGGCAATACTTTGTCCAGGAAGACATTCACAGTGCTATGGAAAACATTTGCCAAGCCTCGAAAGGTTTCATTGACACCTGTTACACTAATGGTATTCAAAACTCGAGAAACGGGTCCAAGAAGTGTCAAGAAGTGACATCTAGAAACTTCTCGGACACCTCCAAGATGTTTCTGGATGTCACTTCTGGACCCTTCTTGATCGATTTGAGACCCCCATCATTCCCCCATCCCCATCACCTCACCTTTGTCTTGCCACAAACTTAACAGGTGACTCTTCTCTCGCTCTTCACTCTACACATGACAACTTCGACTGCCATTGCCATACAACACTTCAAGGAATCAACTCGGTTTTCACACCAATCTCCTGGACCAGCAATTTGTCAAACTGTTTGTGTCAGTCATTGTCTTATTCATCTCATCCATGGCCAATTTGATTCTGACTTGAAAATTGCTTTTGTTGTCAATTCATCTCACCTTCTATTTGATCAATCACCTTGAGAAAAACAATCATTTTGAAACAGAATTTAGATCAAACAATTGAACAAAGGCAAACAATCGATTGAAATAGAACGATCAATTGAAATCCACCAATTGACTGAAATCCAACAATTGAACAAATGTTAACAATCAACCAAGATCTAACAATCAATAAATTTTAACAATTAACTTCACCACGCTCCCTATCCCATCTGCCAAAAATGATTTGTTTGTTTTATCTTGTCCTGGTCACACTGGTACAAATGATTGCATTTAGATACGGCCTATGTAGCTTCAAAAATGGAAATGAGCCAATGATTGTCCTTGCTACTCATAAGTGAACACAATAACTTTGCATACAAAGCAAATCCGAGTGAAATTAAGTTCCAAATACATATTTGAGAAAAACAAAATATGATGAAAACAAGCACTTATATGTTCCCCAAATATGTGGTTTGATCATTGATCGGACAAAGGCCGAAAGAAGGGCAGGACCTACAAGTGAAATTGGTGGGTAAGTGATGTGTATGATGGTGTGGTGTGATCGA